GGAAAAATCAAATTTATGGTTTATTGAAGAAGTATAATATTAAAATATCAAATTGTACCACCTGAACATTTATAATTGTTATTTAACTTATTTCAAAAACCGTCAAAAATTACTAATCCCAAAATAATCGAAATATCAGTTAGGTTTACAACCCTTCTAATTTTCGTTATTCGACGTCTATAGTAGTAGTAGTATTTACACGAATAAAGCCTACATCTAAAAGAGTAGCTTAAGATTTACCAAAGCTCGCCGTACGTTTAGAATATTCTGTGCACACACACACACACACACACAACTATAGATGTATATTCATGGTATTATGAATTATCTAAACATTATCTTTTTTTTTCTAAGTCATTACTTTAAAACAAAACTCTCGCGGGCTTAAACACCAATTAAATACTCTATATCAAGCCGCCTTACGGCGAAATTTGTAAAAAAAACTAAAACTTATAATCAACATATGTTCGTATTAGAATGTATTTCAATTTCTTTAAAATTTCTAATGACGAAAAAAAAACTTGTTGTACACCAATGTCAATACATATTCCCTGTACTTCATACGCGTTAAGAAACATTAAACTTTTAAGCTATTTTTCCAATCACAAACCTGGATATTATTTTTTACTATTTTGCTCATGGGATATTTATCTGACCTGCGTCACTGGTTGTTGTTCCGTTTCCTTAGGGATACTTTGATGCCACGATGATTTGGAAATATCCTGTTTTTTAGCTGGAAGTTTAGTTTCCTGTGGAATAGGGATATTTATGGTTTCATCTTTCAAAATTTCGTCAATTACGGCGTCCAAGTCGTCATCAGACGCGTTCGATTCCACTTCACTCAGCCTCTTGAGCTTTCTAACTTCTTTCATCTTACCCTTTTCTTCCAGGTTCGATGTGTGATTGATAATCGGCTCTAGTTTAATTTCTTCTAAATCTTCTGTTTCTTGTCTAAAATATAAATTTACAAAACTCTATTGAAAGCTGCAACTTGGTTAAGTAAAACTAATTAGTCGGTATTTAAGTATGTTCGGGTGACTTTTTTTTTCAAATTAACCCACTGCTGAAATGTTCTTTTTATTTCTTCAATAAATAACGTCCCTCGATAGGACAGCGGTAAGTTTACGGAATTTCGATACTAAAGTCCGGAGTTCGATTCCCCACGTATTTTGCGCGTATTTTACAAACAACAGCAACAAAAAGAATCAAACCTAAAAAGTGCCTTCCAGTTAACCTTATAGTAAATTTCTTAACAACGTTAAGAACATTACAGTATATGTTTTAGCTAATTCACTACCCGTTACTCATCATTTCAGACTTCTAGTTATATAGGTACAGTGGGCTTGATATTTTGCGAAATTACATTGTAGCTTCATATTCAAGTTTAAATGGCAACCTTTTTTTTATTATTTAGTTTGAAGAATTACACTCTTAACTATTGTGATTTACAATGTTTAGAAAAATACAAAAGATAAAAGCAAAAAGTTACACCATATTTTATTTTACGGAGCAGAATTATATTTTTCGTGTCTTAGAAATCCAATTTTTAAATAATATTTTAAATTTGAGATGGCCCGCGATGGCCAGGTGGTTAAGGCGCTCGACTCGCACTCTACAGCTCGCGGGTTCGAATCCTCTCACACCAAACAAGCTCGCCCTTTCAACCGTGGGGACGTTATAACGTGACGGTCAATCCCACTATTCGTTGGTAAAATAGTAGCCCAAGTAATGGTGGTGGGTGGTGGTGACTAGCTGCCTTCCGTCTATTCTTTCACTGCTAAGTTACAGATGGCTAACGCGGATGACCCTCGTGTAGCTTTGGGCGAAATTCAAAACAAACCAACAGATTTGATGTTTAATTACTGTTCCAGAGACTTTTGTATTTCCTTACATTAAACAAGCAGCCTGTAATTTCCACTCGAACATTATTTCGAAGTCCAAATTTATAATATGAAAAAAATGTTGTAAAAACAAATTCCCGCTGTTGAAGAGCATTAACTAAAAACAAGATTAGTTTATATGATATATAATATATTCAGAAATAACAGGAGGTTCATTCCTTATAATAACGTTATACGTTTTATATTTATTTCTGAAATATGACATTTGGAGATAGCAGTCTTCGTCAGATCGTAAAGTTTCTAAAGCTGTTGTTGTTTTGAAGTTGAGCAGAAAGCTACACAATGGGCTATCTGTACTCTGCCCAATCAACCATTAGATACAAGTTACAGAACGTGGCTTGTCATTTACAGATCATATAATTACTGACTGCTCATAACGCCACAAACAAAATATCATTTATTCACAATCAAGCATTTCTTAAATTGTATTGAAAACCTTTTGTCAAAGATGATAAAATCAATTTCTTTTCAGAAGTTACTGGTTCATGAAAATATAGGGCGTGTTTAGGTGACATAATATTGTTTTCTATGTTAATATGTAAGACAAAAACTGAAGTTGCATCAAACGAAATATTTCATGTTTTAATTTGAAAATGAATTTATTTTAAATCTTTAGTTGTAGTGTTAAAAAGATAATCCTATTATTTGCAGGCAAGCATGGGTTTGTTGAATTTCGCGAAAAGCCACTCGAAAGCTATCTGCGCTAGCCGTCCTTAATTTAGAGGTGACAGATTAGAGGGAAGGAACGCCAGCTACCGCCAACTCATGGGCTACTCTTTACCAACGAATAGTGAGCTTGGCCGTCACATTATAACGCCCAAACACCTGAAATGGCGAGCATGTTCGGCGATGGAATTCGAACAGAGTGCCCTAACCACCAGATCCTACACTGATTCATTCCTGTAATATGAACACATTTTTCAGTGGTTTCATTACCTGACAGTAAATGTAATATTAAAGCCTCGAGCTTGCTTTATGTCGATGGGCACTAAATGGAGCTCAGATTTTTATAGCTAAACATGCCATTATCAAATAATAAAGATCCAGTACTTTGGCAACACTTTCTTAATAATGTTATATTGAATTGAGTTTTGAAAGTAAAATAAAAATATAACATTATCGTGTATTTTCATGCGCTTTGATTATCTTTTAGAGTTAAGTCAGTTCCTTAATTTTCATTTACTAAGACTAACATTAGTGCTAATGGCAAAAAAGGTCAAGGTGAATGCTATTGGTCTAAAACCACTGATAATAGCCTAGGCTCAAGGATCCTCCACACTAAACACCTGGAATCCTTGTCTGAGCGTACGTGTTGTTGCGCAGATTCGATCTCGCGACCATGAGATCGCCCTAAGTTTGCATAATTTAATTCGAGAATGCAGTTCTTCGTGTAACCCGTAATTCAGAAGTTTCTAGTATCTATAGATTAGTTTATATCCACTTACAAGGTATTCCTAAATTACAAAAAAAATAAACTAAAATTACTTTATATCCCACTTACCCTAACTCAAGTACATTGTAAAAAAAAAAAAACATTTGAAGTACGATCGAAACACATAATATCATATCTCTGAGAGGGTACAAGATATTTTATAAAATAACGATGATAATTACCTCAATTCAAATTACCTCAACTCAAGTTATGGAAACCTGACATCCAATTTGGAAGTAAACTTATTGGTAATTCATCCTATTATATATATATATATATATACATTGACTTAAACATGTTGTTCTCTCACTTCTTACCTTACAGTGAATACTTAGATAGTCTTGCCACGTGGAGAGCCACCGTACAGTTTCCTTTTAGTTCATAAATCACCACATATCTACAATTTTGTACCTATATATATTTATTTTTCAGTCTATCTAATTTCATAAACATTCCCTAGAGAAAATGAAGTAATCTAGACTCTCTACCATCTAAATAATTCATACAGAATTAGCCCAGTTTTTCTAGATGAGAACATGTACTTCTATTAGAAATCCCCTGGCATTTTGGAGCATTTATAGAAGATTGCATGTTACATCCCATAAGCTTCTTATTTAAATATACTTGAGTTACAAATTCCATTGGAATGGAGACTAGTATCTGAGTAAAATTCAATTTTAAAACGTTTCACATCCACCAAGAATAAAAACAGTTCTGTTGAAACAAAATAGATTATACGACAAAACAAGTAACGTCTTCGACAGTTGAATATAGGAGTTATATAAATAAAAGTGATTTATTAACAACAAACTTGTTTTAACAATCACAAAATAACAAAATTAATTACGTGCAGCAATCATTCATCCCCGTATTCGTTAATGCATGTTGAAGTTTATAAATTTATGCTTTTTTTTACGTACGTCTGTTAGTAATGGAACTCAGCTGTTGGTTAAGCCTAATATTAATCAAATTGTTCTAGTGAAAGTTTTGTTTGTAGTTAAGCACAAAGCTACACAAAGGGCTATCTGGGCTCTGCCCACCACGGGTATCGAAACCCGGATTCTAGCGTTGTAAGTCCGCAGACATACCGCTGTGCCACTAGGGGGGGAGTAAAAGTTTAAAAATACGCTGCACGTAATACGTTCTCACACAAGTTTATGTGTGTACAAGCGTTTCAGTATCCCAACTTAAAAATATTTACTAGTTTATACCCGACTGTAAATCCTTTATGTCAAAACTAATACAAATTAGGAATTATATATATAACGTATATAATGTTAATTAATATTATTTAAAAATAGTTTAAGAAAAAAAAATGTTCCTTATGACTGTAAAAAAATTATTAAAATCACGTTTTAATGTAGACTGCTGTTTTGTTTATTCAAGGCTCATCGGCACAGCTTGGGTCTGAAAACCAAATAAATACTATTAAGCTTCTTATACTGTTGATGTGCATATAATATTTATGGGGTTTAAGTCTTTTTTTTTAACTTACCATATAACAGCCTAAATTAATTTAGGCGTGTAAATAATATTATCGCATTTTGCATAATGTATTATTCTGTATTATATACAGTAGACTAATTGTTTAATGATTATATTATTTTGTGTGACATTCCGGGTTTTCTGTTGTCCATTCTTTATCCTAGTTGACCTACATCGAATTCTTCACCGGAAACAGTTCTTACTTCCTGCAACATAGCTCTATACTTCCCCCTGTTGGAAGTGGTCATCTGGACCTGTCTGCAAAGTAAGCATTTTCAGCAAACACACACAGGTTCTTCTACAATTTTCAAAATGCCTGTTGGAGAGGATATTGTTCTCGCATTTCTAGTACTGTCCACCAGCTGGAACAATTCTTTTCCTCACAAAACCAGGTCAACTCATTTGCTGGTGCACTAGAATCATCTGTTACTACTGCCAGTTCGATTCATATTCCTTCTGTTCATTACACCCCTTATTGTCCGGCTTTTCTTAGGTGGGCATTAGACCTTCTGTATTCTTGTTTAACTTTGCTGTGAGATTACAATTGCATCAAGGATTCTCTCCTGCTAGCACATTCTCATGGTTTTTAACACACAGCCCATAACTTTATTTTTTATGATGAAGCACCATTGTTGACTTAGACTTTGTATTGTAATCATCTCTATAACTCCTCTTGATTCTGGTCATTTCAGGAATCAGTTTGAGATGCTAAAGGGACAGACGGTTGATGGGTGTGCACGTTCATCTTCTTTATTTATAGGTCATGCTTTTGCTTCCTTTTTGGAAATGAAATTTCTTGCCCTTGATCAAGACCAACTAGATTCTGATAATCCAGAGGACATATTGGCTCAGTCCAATCCATGACTATATAAATTCATCCCATCCTCCACATAAGTCTGAATGATTCATTTTTGAATGCTACTGTTACTTTGCAGTATCTCTATCTGGCCTTCAAAAATAGCCACAACACAGCTTCCATTTCAGATGGGTTGACGCATTCACACTTCAGGGCTGTTTTTTTCTTCTTGCCACCTTTTTAAACATTTATTCTTCAATCAGGGTTATATTCTGCCTCCTCGAAAACCCACACTATTCTTATATTCCTCAAGCCAAAGAAGTATCCTGCCAGTCGAATCTTATTGCTCTATCAGCCTCACTGGTGTCTCTAGCAAAATCCTTGTATCCATCCTGGAACATCAACTTCGTGTTTTTCTTCAAGATGGTGATATCCTACGAAATTCTCAAGCTTGATTTCGACTTAGATTTTCCAACATGAATCAGCTCCTGAAATTTTCTGATACCCTAGCCAATCGTTTTAACTCTTCTAGACCCTCAGTTGTCATTCTTGTTAATTTCGAATGTCCTGTCGATTCCATTTAGGATAGAGGTTTAGTCTTCAAACTGCATCATTTTTCACTTCGTCTTACATACATAATTTGGTCTTTTCTTACTTGGTTGCTACAGTCTGTGTTGACAATGTTCTCTTCTATTCCCTTTTCCTATCCTCTAGGGTGCCTCAATGATCAGTATTGTCTTCTCACACTCACATCTTATATGTTGCTGACATGCTACACCCTAGATTTCCCGTTCATCTTTGTCAGTAGTTGCCAGCATTCTTATTGGTTCGATATAAGTGGACATTTCTCTTCTACAAATCAGAAAAATGTGAAAGGTGCCCCTCCAGATTCAAAGTGCTTCCGCCGATTATGATACTGTTGTTAGACATTGTTTGGAAGCATCATACACAGAAATAGGGGTGGTAGTTTCTTTAAGTATGTGCTAATAATAAAGTTGATAAACTGTAATACATACCAATCTCTTTGCAATACATTTTTAATATTACACACCTCAAAATTAAACACTTACTTCATATTTTAACTACTCGATAATTAAATATTTTCACAAGATTTTTCTTAAACTGATTAAGAATAACATGTTTGTTTTACGAAATCAATTAACAATTAGGTTTTTACTTCAGTATCAAGAAAATCTTCGGTCTTCACGCTACAGTGATTTCGAGCTAAATGTTGAAAGTAACGTTACTTAGGCAACGCACCTAAACTTGTTTGTCCAAGGGCTAAATCTACAAAGTCCGACTCATAATTCAGAATCTGACGACGTATTGTTGAATATTAAAGTGTTCTTGAATACGAGTTTCCAGTGAAGCGGTCACGTATAATTTATGAACATTCAGTCCTGGCTGTAAGCACAGGTATATAGCGTCTACTGTCCACACACACACTGGAGACCCGTATTCAAGCGCACTAAATAATACGCCGTTGGTTATAAAGTGTAGCAGCCCCGTTTTGACAGAATATACTAGGATTATTGCCTCTTCTGGTCATGAGAGTATCTTACAATGAAAGGAAACCCTGTTCATCAAATTGCTACAGCCCGAGATTAAAATAAGTTTTGCTGTTACTGCTTTAAACCGGAATCTTTATATGCTATAGCCCAACCAGCCTGACGAACTTTGGTATTAAGCGAAAGCCCTCGTTGGCCAGGACGTACAACATGTTAGATGATCTCCAATTTAAATGTTCTTTTATACGCTTCGTCCTGGAAACCTATAATGGGCCAGTAAAGAAGAGCGTAAATTATATTATCATCGGTTTTATTGTGATGTATTATCTCACTGCTTACTAATTAACGATCATGTTTCGCCATTTTAAGTGCTGTACACCACAAGACTTAAAATCTAGTTACCAAAAAAAAAAAAAGCCTCCGTACAGACCGAATGCTTAATAGGAAGGTTTGTTTGGAATTTCGTGCAAGGCTACACGAGGGCTAGCGCAGATAGCCCTAATTTAGCAGTAAAAGACTAAAGGGAAGGCAGTTAGTCATCACAACCCACCGCCAGCTCTTGGGCTACTCTTTTACCAACGAATAGTTGGATTGATCGTCGCATTATAACGCCTCAATGAGACGGGGATTCGAACCCGCGACCGGCAAATTGCGAGTCGAGCATCCTAACCACCTGGCCATGCCAGGTCCATAACAGAAAAGAAAAAAAAAAGAGCAGAGGGCACAAGTATTTTTGTTTAAATATATATAGTGTTGAAGAGAATTAAAATGGTACAACATACAAGTATTTAGTCTTTAGTGAGTATCTAAAGTATCTGTCTAAGAGTATAGGAAATTTTAGGTAACTATATAGATTATACTAATACAGTTTGTGAAAATAACAGATTCGATATTAAAAATATTTGTAAGATATGTTACATAACCAACGGGAAACAGAATATAAGAGTATAACGTGGCTTATATCGTATACAGGAGACTTGCAATGATACTATGTTTAATTATATGTAGCACTGTGCGAGTGAGTTACGTCTCCTATTTTCTTATTGCTTTCTCTCTCTTGTCACACATGCATTGTTAGAAGTCTGCTCATGGAAGGTATCAAACAACCTATTGTAGTCCAGGGGTAAGTCTGAGAACTTATAATGATAAAAAATCAGGTTTCGATACCTCCGGTGAGCAAAGCAATGATAGTATATATAGTATGTATATCTTTATATGTAAGAACAAACTAACGAAAAAATCAAATATATACATGTATATAGGCTATCGAAACCTAACTTTTAGCGTCATAAGATCTTAGACTTTCCGATGACCATCGGTGGATTGTTTGTTTGTTTGTAGTTAAGCACAAAGCTACACAATGGGCTATCTGTGCTCTGCCAACCACGGGTATCGAAACCCGGTTTCTAGCGTTGTAATTCGTTGTGCCGCTGGGGGGGGGGGGGGCAAAAGAAAATAAACGGGAAAAAAAAATATTTTTGTA